CATCTAACCTCTGGCTTTATTTCATTCAAGCTCCAGGAAGACGGAACGGGAGGCAAACCTACAGCCGCTACCAAACTCTGGAGCTGGAGAAGGAGTTTCTCTTCAACCCTTACCTGACGCGCAAGAGGAGAATCGAGGTGTCACACGCCCTGAGCCTCACCGAGCGCCAGGTGAAGATCTGGTTTCAGAACAGGAGGATGAAGTGGAAAAAAGAGAACAACAAAGACAAGTTTCCGGGTCAGAGGGGGGAGGCTGAAGCCGAGGCCGAGGAAGAGGGCAACGAGGACGGTGAAGGGGAAGAGGCCGAGGCCGAGGAGAAAGAAGCGGAAGAGAAAGAAGAAGAGAGCAAAGAGTGATTTTATGGTCCTTTTTATGGTTATATGGCTGAAAAAGAGAGAGAAAGAAGAGAGGTCCCATAAACAGAGGAAGAGTCACAAGGAGGCAAAGAGCGTCAACTTTATGACCACCCTTTCATTTTGTCAAGAGGGGACAGGAATCCCTCCAATATCTCTATCATTAATAGACAAAATTCGCCCTCCTCGTTACCCTATAACATGATTTCCATTTGGATATTTCTGTAGACGCAGATTTCCTTTCATAAAACTATAAAACTTGCGCCCTTTCAAAAGGAAAAGGGGTTAATTAAAACGCATGTTAGATGGAAAATGGTTTAGCTGATGTTTTTTTTAAAGTCCAAATTTGCTTTTAATAATAATGAGTATCAAAAGCATAGCCAAATAAGATCAAATCATGACCAACGCCGCCATGTGTTGTAAATAAATAAATAGCCTACATGTAAAAAGTGACATGGACGTCATTTCTAAGCGAAATGAATTCCTATAACTTTCGTGTTCCAACACCATCGCAGCAGATACATGGCAACACCAGCCCATGTAGAGACCGCAATTTTTATTCTTCTAATTATTAATGTTACTGTTTTACTCGTTTTCATGTGGATGGCCTAGACAAAGGCATAGCCATTAGCTCCTCAGACATCTTTTTCTAGGATTTACCAGGGAAATGCAATCGTTTGAAATCCTTTGATGCTACCTAAAACCTGGGGGAATTGCAATAGAGATTTCTGAATATAGAGATTTCATATGGTTTTAATTTGAAAAGTGTTATATCAACCTTATATGATTAAGTTATGTATGTAGCATTTAACCCAATATACAGTATACACTTGTTGAAGACAATTTGTGAGTCTTGGGAAGACAAATAGCTCAAATGTTGAGATTGTAACCACGGCACTACCTAAACTCAGAGCCTTGCCTTTTTGCTGAATTTCTATTCTTCACTTGTGGCATCGCTCTGATTTAAACGCAAGCTATATTTCCCCAACAACTAAAACTGCCTATAACGCACATGTACTGTGTATAATAATACCTGCTACAATTACAACGAGTTTTAAAGTAAGGGACGTTTCTTTTGATGTGCTGGTGATATAGCGTAGTTGTTTTTGCACTGAATATAATCTTTATGTACGTCTTGTTATATATTGATGTTAACAATATGCTCGTTTTCTGGTGTTTTCTCCTGTGAAAGACGGAATTGTGTGTCCCCGCCATTGTTGATGTAAAATCACGAATAAACAAGATGGCTCACAGTCATTTCTGTTTTTCTTTTTATTGTTATTGCAGCCTCGGAAATTACCCCCCTCTCGCTTCCCTCCCCCCCGCACACATAAAAATGACGCGCATACATGTTTGAACTGAGAAACAATGCAATTTCTAGTCTATTTATCTCTGTGCCAATTTACGTTTCTCTCTAACGAGTTATAAACTTTTGTCTAATATATGAGCTGGAGTTTCCACACTTTCTGAACTCATTTGAAACAAAATAATAACAATTCAAAGAGGAAAAGACTCAAAATGTTACGGTTTCCCTTTTTTGATGATCCTTTGATTTCAGCAAGAAACATTCACAGGCTGCAAAAGGAAGGGAGATAAAACAAAGCATACAATAAAACCTCCAAACTAAAGTTTCCTTAATTTAAAACTTTCCAACTTGTGTGATTAAACCAACACAAGCGTTTGCAGATGTTTCCCTTTACCTTTTAAGGAAAGGTTGAGAATTCCCTCTCACAGCTTGCGCACTCTCCAAAGCCTGCGTCGTGTTTGATTCATCCTCTTAATAAGAAACTTCCGCTCTTCAGGGAGGACACGAGGCTTTTCTTAATGAATCTTGGGATGAATTATGGACGTTTGATATGAGATGAAGAAAACATCGTCGTGTTCATAATCAGACTAAATAAATAAAATAAAAAAAACATGAGGGGTGCTTTATCCGTCTGGTTCGTGTCAAAGTTTGTGTCAAACAAGCATCAAATAGGCCAAGTGCAGGTAATACGTTGGGTCTTGTCTCCTCCTGTCTATTTTTTTTATGTTGATAGAGGAAAAAACATCTGAGTTAAATGTTTGTATAACAAACACAGTGATATGTATCAAAATGTACAGAATAGGTGGGCTCTTGAATTGTAACTGTAGCAAAAAAGGCTTCTCGTTTTATTATATTGATACAAATCTAAACCTATTTTCCCTCCTTACATGCAGAAGCAGGTCATCTGACCTCCCTCACTTGTTTACAGCTGTATTTTAGACAAGATGTAATTTAAAGGGCAGCAGCACTGTTTTCTTGTTCTCTCTTTTTTATTTGTATTATTCGAACTTATCAGCAACAATGAACTGTACTGTATCTCTGTAGTTGTTCCCTGCGGCTAAATGATTCAAATCCTCTGCATGTGTTTTGTTGCTCTTAAACAGTTCAAGACTATTTGAATAAGCTGAATTGATCCATTCGAAGTTTGTAAGACATAACGCATGAACGCATGAATGCAAATGCTTTACGGTAGACTCGCAAGGTGTACGTGTGTGTGTGTGTGTGTGTGTGTGTGTGCGCGTGTGTGCGTGTGTGCGTGTGTGTGTGTGTGCGTGTGTGTGTGTGTGTGTGTGTGTGTGTGTTTTTGCAGGGAATGTTTTTTTGTTATTAGGATTGTTTGTTGGCCAACTGTGAGTCAGATTTGTATTTTAAATGACTGGACTAGACATAAAAACATTGACGAAGTTCAATCTTGGATCTTTTAAATGATTGCGTAAACCATACAGTGAGTTCTATTACATCGAGAAAAAAATGAAACAACATAGCCTAAGTGATCTCAATTAACTACATTTTTTTTAAATATTATTCATTTCAGTTAAAAAACGAGTAAAACGTTAAGTTATAAAGTTGCATTTATACTATTTGACTCATTGTAGCTGAAAAGTGTTGCCAAACGAATTAAATCGAAATTGTGTCTTTCAAAATAAAATTGTATCCATTTGAAAAAAGGACGGATAGTGTCAAACTGCTTTTATAAATCCAAATTTTTACTTAAATATAAACCAACTTAATTCTGGCAGATCTGCTCTTTGTGTCTATTTTCATCTATATTGTCTTGTATTTTTCCGAATCAGACGGTTTATTGCGTCAAAGCGACGCCTTTTCACAGTTTGTGATTATTTCTCTCTTGACGTACGTGAAGTCTTTCAAAGAAAATCCGGATGTGTCCCTTAAGTCACAGCTACTCTGTAGCACGGAAGTGCCCATTGTGTGTGTGTACTTTTACCACAGCGTTGACATTCCCAATAAAGTTTAGTGTACCTGCTGTAAAGTTTATTGGCGGTGTAAAGACTCGGCTGGGATGCCTCTGTCTCTTTTGTCTGTTTGTGTCGAGGCTCAGTGTGGAGATCACGGCCTGCAAGGACAACATGCACATCTCATGCGAGTATGTAACCCAGGTTTATTTCATTATTTTGTTCTAGGAAATTGGATTTATTCCTTATTAAGACCACATGTCACAATTTAATATTTTCAAGACGAGATGGTTTTACGAGATAAAGGTGCGTACCAGGGCTTAAATTAAATTAAATGATTTATTTTATCTATTATTTCATTTATTTGGAATTCTATTTTTGTGAATCTTATTTATGTTCAATTTGTTGATTTTTCTTGCACCATAGTTGTTGAGGTTACGAATATTAGTTCAAAACCCAGCTGACGCCTTATGTTCTTTTAAAAATGTGAGTCTTTGTGCGTAATTTCAAATGCGGATTTCTCCCCCTTGTAAATCTCCCTAGATCGTAACAGGTTATGTTGTGCCTCCTCTTTTAATAGTTAGATCGTTGCTGTGTGTGTTTTCTATAGGATCAAGCTGCACCTTTCCCGCTTTTCAATTTGAAGTATGCCTGTATGTGTGTTGAAGCCCTGGAAGAATAGTCAATACGCATATGTGCTAATGGGGAGAAAGAAAGGATACCCTAGTTTTCTTAATTACGCGTGTACCCAGACCATCTACTTGATTTTTGTTGTATACAGTGATACATGGCATCTACTGACTGTCATGTAATCCATCCTGAGAGTCAGCCAGACAGAAAGAGATCCTAATATGTTATTATAGTTAAGTCTAATTGAAGTTTAATTAGACATCTCTCTCTCTGTCTCTTTCCCTGCCTCCCACTCTCTCTCTCTTTCCCTTTCACACTTTTATTTCCTATTTCCCGTTGGCTCTGTGTACATCATGGAATACAGCTTGTCCACCAGGGGAACTGTCATCTCTTTCTGACGCATGCACGTCTCATTTGTGACATATGGGGAAATTTCAGCCTTGCGCCTCATATCGTGTTGCCATTTTTAGTTTTGTGAAAACGAAAAAAAAAAGCAACGGGAAAAGATGGGTGCAAACATTCCTGGTTGTTAAAGGGAGAAATTTACAGCTGAGTAATAAAAGTTTACGACTGAATCCTATCTGCGATTGGCTGCAGCGAGCCACGTGGCACACGCTCTATGAACATGAACTTTATGCTGTTGTCTATTCTCTGGTCCTTCCCTTGTATCAGCAGCAGACTAAAGCTGGGGCGTAGAAGCCTTATTTTTCTCATTTTTACTCTGAAATGAATAACACTGCACCGTGATTTTTGGCGCTGCTTCGTGTGATATTCATCTGATCTCCGACTTCCTGACAGAGGGATCTTCGGGGGACCCTCGCCGCTACCAGCCGCTGCTGCCTGCGATTACTCCTCCCGGAGGCAATAAAAGCGCGTTTGGGAACAGGAAAGAGATCCAGGAAGGCTGCTGGAAAGACTTTTGCCGGGGCACAAACGCTCCTTATCGGCGAGGTGTGAAGCAACTATAGCACGGGAGATGCGCGCTGTGTTGATATTCACCCCTCAGCTGCTGCGTGAATCTGCAACTCCGGAGAGCCTGCTAAAGGTAAGACTACAGATATCTCTTTCGCTATTCCTCAGTGTTTCTGTTGTGTTTGGCTAGTCGTTGCTGTTGTAGGAATGACGAATGATGCAGAAGTGTGTGTGTATGTGTGTGTTTGTGTGTATGTGTGTGTGTGTGTGTGTGTGTGTGGGTGTGTGTGTCTCTGTGTGTGTGTGTGTGTGTCTGTCTGTGGGTGCGTCTTTTTTGTGCAGCCCTGACCTGACCTGTAGCCTGTCTGACTACTGCATTTTACCTGCCTGTTATACACCTGCATTTATACCTGCGCTGGGTTTGTACCATCTGCTTTAGCCAACATTAGGAGCATTGTGTGCGACTGTGGCTGTGCCACTGTGTTGTGATAAATCGCCCATGATAGTAAACTTTGTCATCACTCACAGGCCCCTCTGACCAGGCAGTGACAAATTACCCTTTGAGCTCTCTGATGTGCTCTAATTATTCCTGCTTTCCATACTTGTCGTCACGTTATATCCAGTCTGTGCCAAGAGCTTGGATAACATTTGCAATTTTGCGCACGCGCTTACACACAAATATCCACACACACATACACAACATACGATACACATAAGCTTCAATGTGTGGAGCCTGACACATAGCAAGGACCCTGGCAGTGCCCCCTAGCGACCACTAGTGTTATATGTGGAAGTGGGCGGGTGTTGAGGCTTGATGTTTATGGCTGCTGCCTTTCGGCGGAGGTCCACTGCGGATGTCAGCTGACCCGTCTGATACACTGCTGCACGAGCCGACACAGAGGACCGTTTCCGACAGTCTCGTTTGTTGTTATTGTTGGTGTTGTTGTCAGCTCGGAGAAAGAGAGATTTTTTTTGGTCTCTTTTGTTGTTGTGTTGTTTGAGATGCAGTGATTTGTTATGAGATGCTACCCTGTGACATAATCACTGACGACATTGTGAGTGGTGGTACGAGATTTTTATTTATACCATGAGCAAATAACATTAACATTACAGATATCTCCATTTATCAAAGTCAGTGCACTGAAGGGTACATGAGTGCCAAGTTATGGTACAATACTCTCCAG